CGAGTGGCGTGTTGGTTAAGAGCTGGCTTGGGACACCAGCTCTGAGCAGCAGGGCCCCAGTTCGGATCCCACATGGGCCAGTGACACTGCCCTCTACAGCTAAAATGGTGAACAACAGCTCGACCTGGAGCTGGGCTGCCGTGAGTCGCCAGCAACGGCGTAGGCTGCAGTGAGGTTGCAGTGGGCTGCCATAAGCTACTGTGAGTGGCTGGCAGCTGGCGTGAGCTGCTGTGAGCTGCCGTGAGCAGCCATCCAGTGGCTGGCGACCAATCTGCCTCACTCAAGAAGAGCACATCCTCCACAACTAGACTGAAGAGCAAAAAGACAGCAACTTGTCTGTTCCCCTTCCCCAATTCCCCAACACTGTTCCCCTCCCCCCAATTCCCCAACACTGTTCCCCTCCCCCATTCCCCAATAAAATCCTTAAAAAAAAAAAAAGAATAGACTGAAATTACCCTCCCCCTCATCCCCAAAAGGTGCCCAGTTTTGGGTATTATTTTATCAAGAAAGGTCCTCTTGAAGTTTTAAATAGGGAACCTAGAGTAAGTATTAATGGGAACGCCTCAATAACTGGAATTGTGATACTATGAAGTTACAGAAAATGTGGACACATTTAAAAAGAGAAAGACTAGAAAGATCAGTGTAGAATTCTTCAAGCATCATTAGATTAGTTTTGAGGTGGCACTGTTCCTGTAGATGAAGCAGCAGGTATACCGCAGGTTAGAAGGAAGCCTGCCTGGGAAAATAGGGAGTTAAAACTTGAGGAGAAGCAATAGATCAACGAAGCTATATTAAGGAGGATCCAGGGAAGATGACAATAGATCAGAAACAGACCTGGGTTATAGGCTGAACTGTAGAAATACCGGGGATGCCCAAAAAATGTACACATTTTAAGAGATGTTATTTACTTTTCGAAGTTGAATTGAATTATGTAGCAATATGTAGTATGATGTGTGCTCAAAAGATGGCGTTAATCAAATGAATGCTAGCATCATTCATTGTATTACAACTTTAACAGTTTTTTCCTTTCTTAAAATGTGTATATATATTTTTGGCACCTTCTGCAAATACCGTCTAATGAAAGTAATGGTGGGCTGCGTTCATTTGTGGCAGATGCAGACCTCCCTGACAGAATCCAAAGTAATATGTTAGGAGAACAAAAATTTAAGTGTGAAAACAAAAAGCAAATACAGGGAAGGACAGTACTAAGACCTAGCAAAAGGTATTAGTCAGACCTGGGAACACAGAAGGAGCAGAAACAACTGGGATGGGAGTTTACAAGCTGAAAGCTCAGCTGGGCCTGCCAGACCAGTAGGAACACTCAGAGGGAACTGGAACACTGGGGCCTTATCTCTCCAAAGCAGAAAAGGAAACGGTGGCAGGAAAGAATGCTTCAGTCCCCATCACAGAAGCACAAGCCGTTCAAGTCTTAGAAGTTCAGTTCTCAGGAAAGGTGGGACTTGGGTGAAAAACCACTAACTTAGGGCACTTCCTGGACCTCATTAGACAAGTGAAAGCACAAGTTCCAGAAACTCAACAGCAGCCCAACAACCAGCTGAGGGTAATTCTCCAGGGGAGACAGACGTGAAACCTCCTAACCAGAAAGCAGGACTCATCAGCAAGGCATTCAATAATAGGAGCCCAAGGACCTCAGAGCTAAAATAATTCCTGGGGTCCTTGTAGAAATAGAGAAACTCAGAGGAAAGAGTGAGAAATTGGGGCTGTGAAGGGGGCATGCAAGACAATGCATGTCACTTGAAGAGTTTCTTACTATATTGTGAGGTACCCTACCCACAAAAAAAGGAGGCTCTTTCACTAAAGAGATAAAGATTTTTAGTAATGGTGGAGGGTGGGTAGAAATGGGACTCAAAGAAGAACCAAAAATGAAAAGGTTCTAAATAGGATGGACACCAAGAAAGACCTGGAGTCACCACTGCAAAGTTCTAAAATTTTCAAGGAAAGTGAATTTCCTTCCCTCCAAAGTACATGGGAAGCCTAGTGTTAGACTGAATCCAAGTAACCTCGTGAGAAAAGGTTATTTCCCCAATTAGGTTTAAATGCACAGACTGCTTGGTGAACTATAGAAGCTGAACTGTCCCTGTTAGACCAGGGGTCGGCAAACTTTTGAGACGGAAGAGCCAATCCTGTCCCTCACAACAATTTAAAAATTATCCAAGAGCCATAAATATATTTTTACAAATAAGGAAAGTTTAAAGTAATATTATAAATGAAACTATGATAGTTTTATTTTCATTTTCAATTTTACTTCACAGCCACATGTACGTACCCAAAGAGCCGCATGTGGCTCGCGAGCCACAGTTTGCCAACCCCTGGGCTAGACTATACTAACTACTGGCAATTTGGGGTCCGCATTACAAAGGAGAAGGCAACCATGAACTAAGCTTGTTGAACTTGATCCATGGGCCCCTGATTATACCCAAGCTATAGTTCAGACCTCATCTCCTACCACTTTGCTCCGGCCATACGGTGGAAGTTGCTGAAACATGGCAAGGACATGTCAGGCCTGTCTTAAGACCCTGTTGCTTGGTGTTCCCCCTGTGCATGGCTTACTCCTTCACATCCTTCAGATCTATGCCTAAATGTCACTTTATAATAAATGCCTTCCCTGATCATCAATTGTCACTCCCTTTGCCATGCTTTGTTCTTCATCTTTAATAGATGGAAGTCCCATCTATTGTAACATATGATGTATTTCCTTACTTGTTTCTCTCTCTCCTTCCCTAGCCCCTGACTCCACCTCCATGGCAGTGGGAACTGTTTTATTGCTGCTACATCGTCAGCTATGAGAACCTGCCTGACACATAGTAGGCAAGAAATAAACACTTATTAAATGAATACATCCAAGGCACTTGAAGTTTTTGCTCATGGTTCAAGGTTGACAACAGCAAGGTGGGTCTGGACTGACCATATACTAGGTTCTGGAAACACAATTTTGCTTTTTCTTTTTAATAACTAAATATTTAGTGAGAAGCAGTAGAGGTACTGATTATCAGTGAGGGCCCTGGAGCCAGACTGCCTGTGTTCAAAGGCCACTTGCACATCTCACTAGGTGTGTGACCTTGGAAAAGTTGCATAACTTCTCTGTGCCTCATGATCCTTATCCATAAAACGAGAATAATAGCAATGCCTGCCTCAGAAGTTTGGTAGGTTTGAGTTGACCCAAGGATAGCACTTCAGGCAGTGCCTAGCATATATTTAGTGCTCAATAAACATAGCTATTATTGTCATCATCATCATGGCATGCTAGGAACTGTTCTAAACATTGTACTTGTAACGTGTCATAGAATGATCCCTCAGAAGGTAACTAGGCCCAGGTGAAAAAAGAACACATCGAATCCATTGGCTGTTTTAAAAAATTGAGGTGACATTCACACAATATAAAATTAACCGCTTTAAAGTATACAATGTAATGGCATTTATTTAGCACATTGACAATGTTGAGCAATCACCACATAATTTTGCTTTGCTTTTCTAAGCGCAGCAGTGAGTATGGGAGAGAGGCCCCAGGAAAGCGGGAGCAGGACCTAAGCTATTCCTCCGCTTTCCCTAAAGAGGGCAGCCTCTCTGCCTGGTTGCCCATAAATTTGTAGGCTAAACCGAATGGATTAAAGAACAAAAGGAACTGTAGAGACTTCTGTCCCTGCCCACTAGGCCCCTCCGCAGCTTCCTCACAAGGCCACATGGCCTTTCTAAGGAACCTGACCTTCATCAGGCCACTGTTCTGTATGTCTGGCTAATGTGTTCACACGTGGTCCAGGCAGGAGGCCTCTTTGTCCTGCCAGTGCTGACACAGTGCAGCTCACATTTCTGATCTCCTGAAGTTGGTTCTAGTTCTTCATCTGATGACCCTGAGGACTCAGCTGTCTCAAATTTGGGGTGAGAGGTAGGAGGCCTTACAGTATTCTCAATCCATCACCATCAGGGAGCTCTGAGTAAAATAGTCCATTCTTGGTCTGTACCCTCTATGAGCCAGAACCCTCGTGGGGAAGGGCATAGGTGGTAAGATTCAGGCACTCTGAACCCCAAAGTTGGTAGTTTGTTAGAACTAGAACCTAGAACCGTCTCTTGACGCCCAGACTAGCACTCTCTATGCTCCCCCACACTGTACAACTCACATACTTCACTTGTTGTCCTGAGATACAAACTAGAAAGAAATGCACACCTACCTGCCAGTGCAGTTGTTATCGTTATTTGCACTGAGAGATGCTCAGGAGATCCCAGGAGGGTGATATTCACTGTGTAATCAGTTGCCGGGTACAGATCTAAACACACTACTGAAGTTTGTTCCCACGTCGTGAAGTTAAATGATGTTGCGTGATAAAAATCATTCAGATACCACCTTCGACCCAGAACTTTAACCTGTCATGCGATTAGAAGAAATCAATGCCTTCAATTTTCTGTTGCCTTGCAGATATCTAGACTATAAGCAAAAGACAGAGCAAGAAGGTTCCTTCTATTTGTCCTCACCCACCCAGAATTATTTTTAATACAGTTGCAGACTAAACGGAAAGGACTTTACAAAGTTACCTTACCTATCCTATTCAATGTCCCCCTCACAGAGCTACAGGACTAAGCTTAAAATGCATAACTTCATCTGAGATAAACAGAATGTCACGGTATTCTAAAGCAATCCCTTCATGCCCATCCAGTGATGGAGATTGCCCTGGAGCTACTGGGCAAAATTCTTTTAATTTCTTTCCATTCCTAAGGAATCCATAGACAAAGCTCATGAAACAGTTTTTAAACTTTAGGAGAACTACTCCAAATTATGCATTCAAAGCAACTGTGCAATGGTACTTTAGTACTTATTCCTTTCTAGTTGAGCTCTCATAAAAGAGCTTTTGTTCCATGGAGTCATCACACACGCTGTGAACCCAGTTCATACTCTATCCATTGCCAACTCAAGTCGTAGGTATAACATAGGAACTTATAAGGGAAAATGTATATGAAGGTCCCATAAGTAATATGATCAGGTTGATCAGTGTGTTTAGCGGGACATCCAAGTTTAGTGTTTCTCCTGATGCTCCTGTCATTGGCTTGCCCAACCCCAACCCTGACACAGGACTCATTGGGAGATTCCTCTCTCTCCCAATTCCTAGCACTCTCTTAGGGAACTTAAAGGTCCTTGAACACAGGCCATCAAAACCTGGCCTCAGGGGCCGGCCGAGTGGCGCGATGGTTAAGAACTGGCTTGGGACGCCAGAGAGCCCCGGTTCGGATCCCACATATGAGGGCCAGTGACACTGCCCTCTACAGCTAAGATGCTGAACAACCGCTCAACCTGGAGCTGGGCTGCAATGAGTCGCCGGTGAAGGTGTAGGCTGCAGCCCCTGTGGCAGTGGGTTGCCATGGGCTACCGTATGTAGCCAGCAGCCCGTGTGAGTGGTCAAGCAGCTGCAGTGAGCGGCCGTCCAGAAGCCGGCGACTGATGTGCCTCACCCGGGAAGAGCACAATGATGGTGCCAACTTGGGCCAGTGAAGCAATGTCCTCCACAACTAGATTGAAGAATAAAACGACAGCAACTTGTCTGTTCCCCTTCCCCCAATTCCCCAGTGCTGTTCCCATCCCCCAATTCCCCAATAAAAGTCTTAAAACAAAAAAACAAAAAACAAAACAAACAAACAAAAAACCTGGCCTCAGTGTTCCTTGAGCTCAATGCTATGAAGTTCTTCCACTGCACTTGAGCAACTCATATCCACAGCCACATCCTAGACTATGTCATCATTAGAGCTGCTCCACCAAATCTCCCAATCCCCAAGTTTATAGAAGAAGCATGGTATTTCATGGTTTTATTTTATTTGTTTGTTTGTTTATTTATTTTTGCTTACTAGTGAGGCATAACATGTTTGTCATGTTCTCGTATGTCTTAGCAATATGTATACATTCTCTTTAGCAAACTGCCTTTGAATGTTCCCTTTCTTCTGGATTGGTTAAGAGTGTTTCACATGTTACTTAAATTATTCTTTGTCTAACATATTAACAATAGCAATTTTTTTTTCAATTTAACTCTTTAATCATTTTAGTGCAGTGAAAAAATCATTAATTTTCTCAACCAAGTAGTTAACCAATTGTCTCAGAACCATTTAGTTCTGTACTCATGTGAAAAATCATTTTTCTTAAATTACTTGGGTACTTGAATACGTTTCTAGGCCCCGTGTTCTTTCTAATATGAAAATTTGAGTATTTCACTCAGTTGTGTAAAGTCTTTCAGTGCCTCCACATAAACATCAAAATAAGATGAAAACTCAAAGGCACAGGATGTAGAGGTTTTCACGATCTGGCCATTTTGCCTCATCTCTTCCTACTTCCCCTACTGTTCCCCAGGGAAGCCATCTTCCACGTTCTCTATTATCCAGTTTGCTTCTCTCCTTGTCCACTGTGCCCTTCTTCGCCTTCCCCCCACCTCTTTTATCTGGTTAATTCTTATTCATTCTCTATGACTCAGCACCATCTTTACTTCTTGTTAAAAAAAATTGTACCTGGACACACACACACACACACACACACACACACACACACACACCACCCTATTCTATTTATTTACTTTTTATGAAAGCATTCATTATACCATATTATAATTGTCTATCTGCCTGTGTATTTATATTAGCTTGCATCAGAACTTCCAGTCCTAATACATATATCTTTTGTAAATGATTAATTAATTTTAATTTAATACTTACTCAATTTACTCTCTGCCAAATGATTTGCTAGGCACTGAAAATACCTCAGTACCTGCCTGAATTTACTTAAAATTTTTCCTGATATTTGTAATGTTTAAAAAGTCAAGTTAAATGAGAACCAACAACCATGCAAAAAGTTTCTTAAAAACCCACATCCAAGTGTGAATGAATAATAAAATTAGCTGCAATTATTGAATACACTAAAATAAAATATAATATATGTGAAATACCAGACAGGGAAAATGATAGTAAGTCACCAAATATAGTGTTTTCCTTCAATTTAGTCTCTCATTGGCACCATCTCACATCACACATTCATCTCTAGAAACAAAAATCAAACCATTTAGAAGTTCATTTCATTAGTGTTTTTAAATACTTTGAATCCTCAGTTGGAGAGAACCCAAATTTTCAAGTTACACAATTCTTTAATTGATAACATAAGATATATTCTTACTTGGTACATTTGTTCTGATCCAACTTTCCTAGAATGCCTGTTCAATTTCAAACAAGCTTCATTAAATATTGAAATATTGAAAATTCCATCATCTTCTAAGAGATCATCTTCTAAAAGATAAGAGAGAACATACAGAAAGGTTGCATCATCTTAGCAAAACTGAAGCTTTGACTTCTGAAGAGAGACAGTAGGGTGTTGAATAACACGAGCATCACCTTTGGCTTCAAGTCCTGGCTCTACAACTTAACTGCATGACCTTAGCTGTCACTTAACCCTTCTGAACCTCAGTCTCCTAATTTGCGAAATCAAGTAATCCAGTTTGCTTTTCTCACCTCACAGGCAGTTGAAAGAATCAGATGAAGTAATGCATGTTTAAAAATTGCTGTCAGCTAATAAAGCTGTGGTATTTTTAGAAAGTTAATCTTGTCACTTGGACAGTCTGAAAGTAAAGAAGGTAAGCATATCAACAGCTGAAAAATCTGAGAATAAGGAAAAAAGGTGAATCAAGGTAAAGGTCACGGGATAGAACTCTCAGAGCAAGTGTTTCCAACCTAGGAGATGAGCAGGAAGTAGATGACAGGCAGGATGTTTGCTCTCACAGCATACAGCATTTCAAGAGCTACTCAGATGAGTACTGAGGCAGTAAAATAATCTGAAACAGACTCATTTCAACCACTGTACAGAAAAAAGGAATGTCATGCCTCCTGTAGTATAATTCATTCCTTCAATGTTCTGTTTTCTTAATGTAATCAAAAAGAAGAGGTTTGTTAGTAATGCATAAAGAAATCAGAGAGGATCCAGGAGCACCATGACTAATTTTCTAGGAAAAGCCAATTTCCTAACAAATAAGCAAATAAGCCTGTGGGTTTTCTACAAATGAGAAAAAGTTTAAATGTCCATCAGAGAGAAGCTTTTTATAACTACCTTTTATATGAATTTCTCCCCCGGGAATCTCTGTTACCTAAGAAGTAATAATGATAACAAATTATTTTATTCAAAATCAGAATTGTCCACAGAATTTTAAATATCACTGATACATGCAGCACAAGGCAATTAGCTGGGAGAAAATATTCTTGGATATAATTGGAAATGTAAAAATATGGTTATGAGAATTTGAAGACCTATCACATGTGTTCTCCTTTATCTTCACAACTTTTCTTTTAAAGATTTCATAAGGACATCGGAAACAAAACTGCCACACGTATGCAAATGATTTTGAGGCACACCAAATATATGTATGAAGAAATACCACACAGGGTCTATGTCTGCACACAAACAGAACTGTCTGCATCGTGCCCATCTCTATATGATTTTCCCATTTGTAGCCATTTTAATTGGGATTCAGGGGAAAATGGCAATGTGAACAAAGGCATCTGGCTTCCACTTCCCACCCCCAATCCGGAAGAAGTGACTGAGAATAGTAAAAATGGGTCAAAATTTGCATCTGTGTTGGAAAGAAGGGTCTGTTGCCACCACACACAAGGCAGAAACATAGAGATGTTTCTGCTTAGCACAGTGTGAAAGGCAGCAGGTGAAAAAAAGACATTGAGAGCTACTGCACAACATGCATCCATGCACAGGAGCAGATATGAAGTAAACTTGGACAGCTGTATTTTTTTTTTTAATTCACCAGGCAATCTAGGCAACCAGGATAAAAAGTATATGTACTACTATTATTATTGCTATTACTACTACTACTATTACTATAATAATAATAATAATAATAGTCCCTCCATAGCACACTGGAGATCTTCTAGGGGGAAGCCTAGGGACCTGGAGGTTCCACCAGCCTGGACTGTCAGGAGGAGGGACTTGGTTCTTTCCTGCCTCTCCAGGCTACACCACCACAATGAAGCCAGGCAATGATGAGCTGGCCTAAGAGCAACAACTTCACCAATCAAGATAGGAAAGTGCTCAGAAATAAAGCTCAGAGCAGCGGGCTGTCTCACAGCTGCTCCCCCAAAGGACACTTGGATGTCCAACCAGCAGTAAATCCTTCAAGATGTGATCTGAAATAAGCATACTAATATTATCCAATCAAAAGTAATCAAAGGGAATGGCATCCATTTTATTATGAGAGAAATATCACACCTAGATAAAGCTTTTATCTTCCAAGGATAAGTAATCTAGAAGGGGAGGTGGAGAGCCTGTGAAATGATTCTACAAAGAAGAGGGAGATTGTACTTAGGAGGCAAAGAATGAACATACTTTTGGGGGAAAAAGTATTGAGCAAATAATGGCAAAATTGGGCAATAATCTGCTTTATACTTTCAGTAAAAAATTTTAAGATAGATTCATGCAGATAAAACATGAGATAAGAGAATGCAATAGCAGAAGAAGACACTATTGGTTGAGAGTCAGAAATAAAAAGGGAACTAGATGACACAAAGAAACAAAAGAAAATGAAAGTGGAACAACAGAATTTAAAGTGCATTAGAAATAATAAAGATTGGAAATGTCAATGCATATATGCATAAATGCATACAGAGAACAAACTGCTACATACTGACAGAAGGCAGAGGAAAAAGACATGGATATAAAACAGGAGAAAACGAAAGACCAATACAAATACAGACAAATTCCACATAGGAGTATCGGAAAAGCCAAAATAAACATAAAAAAAAGAAAAGCAATAATCAGAGATGTAATTAAAGAAAATGTTCCTAATGTGTGAATAGACCAAATTCTGAAGATCCAAAAACTCACTGGGTACGAGAAAATGTAGTAAAAAAATTAGAATTAAAATTTAAAAAATGAACATTTATATCATCCATAAGTGAAGTTTCATGAGAAGGAGTTTCTGTCTCATTCACCATTGAAATCCCTATGCCTAAAACAATGTTAAACACATAGTAAGTGGTCAATAAACTACCATGTACCTGAATAAGTAATTAAAGTCTTCAATTTCACACATGAAGAAAGCCTATAGGCTAGCCAGGCTGAAAAATCAGATTATCTACATAGGATTTTTTTTTTCAATCACACCTTCTTCAAATTCCTCTTTCAAAATTTTAAATTCTCAAAGCCAATGTGAAATGCCTCCAGAATTCTGACAACAAAGCTTATGGCCCAGGAATTTTATCTTCAATCAAGCTCTCATTTACTTTCTGAAGTCAACAAAAAGACATTCTCAGATAATCATGGGCTCAGAAAGTATCCCACTCCTCAAGAGGAGAAGACAGAAATCATTGTGCAGAGAAATAAATAAAAATATAGAAAAAAAATTAGAGAAACTTCAGAATGAAAGGACTGGCAGTAAGCATTGAAACCATTAAAACATATACCAGTTTAAATAATTGTTGTAAATACTGCTATAAATCAATATGAAAATGAATTCCTTAAAGATGTAATACATGTTAAAAGTAATTAAAAGTAAGAAGCTGGCGATAAAATGCCATGTTAAAATAATAACATAAGAGAAGTGAGAGGGGAAGAAATAAATGAAGTAGAGAATACTAACTTCCACATCTTATTCAAGGAGAAGTTAACATTATTTCAGTCTTATCACTGGCAATCAGAGAAATACACATTCAAATAGGATTTTTTTGTTGTTCTTGGTTTTTGGATTTTTTTGACTTAACAGAAATTTATTTTCTCAAAATTCTGAGATCTGGAAGTCCAAGATGATTTTTTTTGTTGTTTTAAAATATGTATTGTAGAATAAAAGCAAAATCTATACTGTCTGATTCATTGAAAAAGAAAACCTGTATAGCAAAAAGACAGAAAACAATGGACATGGCTAAGTAGCTAAAAAAGAGAAAATAAAATACGATGACAGAAGAAAGGAAAACTGTATCACAAACAACACTAATGTAAATTGCTAAATTTACATCCTCAAAAACAAAACTTATCTTAAAAATGTTTCTTAATATATGTGGTCTCCTAAAGTACAATATTATCCAGATAGCTTTTAAGAAGCACAAAAGTGGGTGAAGGCGTACCATGCCAATAGAAGCACAAAGAAATCAAGAAAATCAATATTACTAATCAAAGTATAATTCAAGGCAAAAAATATTAAATCAAATAAAATAAGCCACTTGTTACTAGTGAAAGCATCTACAATTATGGTATCAGTCATGAACATAAATATCATGACATCAATATGTGTGAAACAAAACAATTAGAATTTCTAAGAGAAATTGAGAAAAGTGGCAATCCAAATAATTAAAAAACAAAAACACAAAAACAAACAAACAACTCACTCCCCAGAAATCCTCATTAATAGATCTAATTTGAGACTAGATCTAACTCTACCTACAAGCAAACACTCTGCTTTTTTTAAAAAAAAATTAATATTTCAATTACAGTTGACATACAATATTATATTGGTTTCAGGTATACAACATAGTGATTACACATTTATATAACATACAAAGTGATCACCCTGATAAATCTAGTACCCATCTAACATCATACATAGTTATTACAGCATTATTGACTATATTTCCTGTGCTGTACTTTACATCCCCGTGACTATTTTGTAACTACCAATTTGTATTTCTTAATCCCTTCCTCCTTTTCGCCCAGCCTCCCAACCCCTCTTCCATCTGGCAACCATCAATTTGTTCTCTGAATGTATGACTTTGTTGTTTGTTTGTTTTTTAGAATCCACATAAAAGTGAAATCATATGGTATTTGTCTTTCTCTGTCTTACTTCACTAAGCATAATACTCTCTAGGTCCATCCATGTTATTGCAGATGGCAAGATTTCATTCTTTTTTTATGGCTGAGTAATATCCCACTGTATATATGCACCATCTCTTCTTTATCCAATCGTCTATTGATGGACACTTAAGTTGCTTCCATATCTTGGCTATTCTAAATAATGCTGCAATAAACATATAGATGCATATGTCTTTTCAAATTAGTGTTTTAGGTTTCTTCAGATAAATACCCAGAAGTGGGATTACTGGGTCCTTTTTTATCTCTTGTTATAGCCTTTGTTTTAAAGTATATTTTGTCTAAGTATTGCTATCCCAGTTTTTTGTTTGTTGCATTTTCATAAAATATCTTTTTCCATCTCTTTACTTTTCAGTCTGCGTGTTTCTTTTAATCTGAAGTGAGTCTCTTGTAGGCAGCATATATAAGCGTCTTGTTTTTTTATCCATTC